TTCGCGGATGTGAGACCACACCCTGGCGAGCATGGGTGTGATCCCGATAGCTCTATCTCCACTTGACTTCTTCGGTGTGAGATGCCCCACAACTAAGAGTACCTGTACAGGCCAAGCCAAAACATGTTCGATGCTGTGCAATACCAACACCAGTTCTTGAATGGCAGCACTGGGAAGTCTTTGAAAATCAATTGGGCTCATCATGTCCACTCCGAGTCCCGCTTTGGCCTTCATAGACCTCGTGCTCCGATAAACCTGTTCGACCGTGATATCGGGCAGAGAATCCCACTTGGCCTCCTCACGGATGAGACGGAAGATCTCGCGCACTTCCCCTAGGTCAGGGGGTCTCGGGGCCCACAGCTTTTTGAAAGCCACCGCTTTCTGATCCAGGATCTGGGCCGGGTGGATCAAAACCTTACCGTCAACCTCGAGGTCAGGTGGTGGCGTCGGCTGCTGCTTCAGGGCCTTGTGAAGGATGCCATTCGCACTGGGGTCGTCCGTAACCCACTGCTTGAAGTCGTGCAGGGACTCGCGCACTGCAGTGCGCTGTGCACGGGCTTGAAGTTTCCGTGAACAATCGACGAAAGAATCCAGGACTGGGGCCGCCGTCGTCAGCGGGCACTTGAGGAGGGTAATCCACTCGTCCATGGGCGGCTCCTTCCCTGGGTTGATGATCGTATGAACGTTGGGTGGCCGTGAGTCACACAGCTGTCCGCATATCTTGGCATACTCGTCGAGCTGCCTCTTCCCATTCTGACGTGAACGGTGGCGAGATACACTGCTGAGGACTGTGTGTACCCGTGTCCACCACTGGCTTCGTTGGTCCCTGAGCGGCAGATGGCGCGTGTGCGCCGTCGTCCGCAGTGGGCGTTCGACGAACCTGGGGCCCTCTGACCGTGGCACACCAGGGCTGACCTGAATATCATGATGCAGATGGATGGCCCGTTCGACTGCAGACGCCCAGCCAGCGTACATGCCAGAGACAAGTGTGCTATGCTGAGGTTCGAGCGAAAAGGCTACGGAGGAGGAAAGGTGGGGGGAGGTCGCAGCCACCACTGAGGCTCCTGGTTGAAACCCAACCTGGCTCCTACTCTCAATCCACGTCTCAACGGGGACTTCAAATGTGGGCTCAGGTTTGGTCCCAGGGCTCAAGCTGGTGGCTTGCTGCTGCTGACTACACTGGGGTTCCGAGGGACGGGGGGGCTGGGCTTCACACACATCCGAATTACTGACTACTCGACTCAGATCTATGCCTTTTTCCCCCGCCCGCTGAGGCTCCTGAGGGGTCTTACCCGATGGCTCTCCCAGGGGCTCAAGGGTACTCGGCAGTTGCGCATCGCTACAGAAGTTGAGCTCGTTGGCCCATGGGTCCTCCTCAAAATCTGGGTGAAACAGAAACTCGGGATCCATGTCCTCCTCCAGCTCCCGCGGATGCTGCTGGCCAGCAGGGTCCTGGGCTCCATGGTCCTGGAGGCAGTCCCCGAAATGCTTTTCAAAAAACTCAGCTCGCTTCTCGTGTGCCGAGAGCCGTGCTGCTATAAGCTTAGCCCGTGTGACGCTCGACTTGGACCCGGCTGTTGGTTCCACTCGAGGCCTCGGGGGTTGAGGGAGACGGCACGGCAACTCAAGCTCTCGAGTCTGCAGCTGCTGACCCGACGCTCGCAAGGTGATAGCTAAGCCTATATGGGGCCTCCAAGCCACATCCCGAATTGGATTCACTTCCTTCACAAAAGGGACAGCCGATGGGCTCATTACAAGGTAATCAAGCATGCTGTCTTCCCCGTTCTTTTTGGCGCAAGTGCCCGTGACATCAGCCGTTCTAATGATGGCGCCCCCGACGCGCTCCAGGAATTTGGACTTGGCTAACGTCTCTGGCGACATGTTGTAGTCCCCGATGCACACCCATGGCATACGTATTGAAGTCAAGAGGCCCCCCAGCTTGCGAAACCTTTCACAATTGCGACCTGACATTCCAATACACGGGAACGCATACAGCACGATAACCACGATGGCATAGCCCTGCTGCTGAAGTAACATGGGTAGGAAACCGTCTAGTGCACTCGACCCTGGTGCCCGAAGATGCTTCGCGGGAAGAGGAGGAGGAGGAGGAGGAGGCGGAGGAGGAGGAGGGGGAGGAGGTGGAGGAGGAGGAGGAGGAGGAGGAGGGGAGGAGAGGGAGGAGGAAGAGGAGGAGGAGGAGGGAGGAGGAGGAGGAGGAGGAGGAGGAGGAGGACCAGGAGGAGGAGGAGGAGGAGGAGGAGGAGGAGGAGGCGGAGGCGGAGGCGGAGGCGGAGGCGGATGCGGAGGCGGAGCAGGAGGGGGAGGAGGAGGAGGAGGAGGAGGAGGAGGAGGAGGAGGAGGAGGAGGAGGAGGAGGGGGAGGGTTATTCGTGGCGCGCCGTAAGCATCAACAAGCTAGCGCAATTTCCAGAACGGCACATTGGACTCGATGCCGGCGTGCACAAGGGGGTGGTATTGGACGACTTCGAAAATTGTTGCTTGAGGTCCAGGAGTATGGTCCCAGAACAATGCTCCCGAACAGTACGATACTTGGAAATTCAACGGAGTGCACTCAGACGAAGAAGGACATGGTGACGGATCGCCTCAACGGAGACCGCCAAGAGCGCCGATGCACGCGAGGCGGCGCTCGCTGTCGCAGAGGATCAAGGAACTCGAGGCATAGCAGGGGGGTTAGCGCGAAGGCCGCCCCGAGGACGCCCTGAGGATCATGACGAGGAAGCCCTGCGGGCCGCAGAGCGAGATGTGCGAGAGTCAGCGAAAGAATCCGAGAATCCCGAAGCTGGCAGCGGCCGAGGAGACAAGAACCCGAGTGTGCACATGATTGAGTCTGAACTCGAGCAGAGGCGCGCAGCGGTGAAGACGCTCAGCCTACGCGCGAAGGAAGAGGAGTCGCGAGCTGGGCAGGAGATCTTGCGAGTGCGAAACAGGCTTCGGCTTGTCCGAAGCCGGAGTTGCTCGGGTGGTACGAGTGGACTGCGTGGCGATCAACGGAGGGTCTTAGGGTCGGCTCCAAGACCGCGCGAGGAACAGGCCTATGGATAGATCAGGCAGAGGAATCCAACCTGGAGACGCATAGTGTCGATATATCACGGGGACAACTGGCAGGATGACGACGGGAACAAAAACGCAAAGCGACCGACGCGGCAACGAGAAGCGTGATTCAGAGAGTTTGAGACGTAAGTCCTAGCATACCGAAGCCGAGCTCAGCGACGTCAGCGGCTGGAGGACCGCCCAAGATTAGCGCGGCGATCAGACGACTAGAGAAGCTGTGCTGCAAAAGAGAAGATGCGGATTTCGCGAGATTTATAGCTGCGACGGAGAAGATTAAGTCGATGCTGTTGCAGCTAGATTGGATAGATGAATATCGGAGAGCGACAGCGGTGCATAATCTTCGGACCTAACATCGTATCTATGTGGGCCAGGGCTTGGACCGCGACTGCTCAAGAATGAAGCAGGCGGTCCTGGATGCATGGATGACGCAGACGAGCACAACGGCCCAATAGGCTCAGGATGGAGTCCGAGCGCGATGATAGGCACGGAAATCATGAGAGAGTTGTGCGAGCGGTACGAAATCGATTTAGAGTTTTTGGCGGGAGACGAAGAGACTCCAGGAGAGTTTTCTTGACGGGGGCACTCTCGTTCCGGGAAGCCTGCATGAGGAATCCGATCGTGCAGCGCGAAAAGAGGGGTTGCTGGCCAAGCCGCGTCTTCTGGGGCCAACGGTACCCCGTGTTCGGCGAAGCAGACGAAGCGTCGGGACCCATGGTCGGGGGGGGGCAGGGCAGCCGGAGGGCAGACAGGGAAGTCGTGTGGATCCGAGCTCGGATCTTGAATCAAGGGGGGCAAAAAAAACCCGGACCGTACAATCGGCGTTCAACGGCCGTGAGCCTGTACCGAACAGCCCCGCCCTGCTCGATTCCTTCTTTGGGCGCGTTTACTAAACGGCCTCGCTTGTCAGGGTGGTCGTCATGGGGGTGGATCTTTTGCCCTCGATTGCAGGCCGAGGCTGGGCGCCGCCACGGGGGCGCGACGCCCGGGGGGAGGCCACGCCCGGCCACAAGAAGGGCAGGCCCGACGGTGGAGCAACCCTACGGCGCCCCGTGGTGGGGGCCGACGGGCGCCCCGCCGCGGCGGAGCCCGGGTGGGGCCCCCGCCGAAGGGAACGGGGCCCGCCGGAGGAGCCGACCAGAGAGGCTCGAGCGAGCGCGGAGGCCCCGCGCCTCGCTCTCCGCGATCAGGAAGGCCCTCTTCAGTCAGGCGATCGCAAGCAGTAGCGACGGGTCCCGCTTCCATGGGAAACCGCGGACTTCCGCCGCCGAGCGAGGCGGCTCCGGCCGCATTCTGGAGAGGGCGCCTCCCCCGATCCATGGATTTGGCGACCGCGCCAAATCCATGGAGGATCGCTAGTCCGGTTTGCGCGCCCCCGACGAGAAAGGCCGGAGCGAGCGCGGAGGTTCCGCGATCAGGAAGGTCCTCCTTGGGGAGCCCCCCAGCCACAAGCCGGGGGAGCGCCAATCCGAAACGGAAGCCCATGCGGCAGCGGGAACACAATTTTGAAGCACCGAAGAGGATCGGATTGTATTTCAAGGCATGCAAGAAAACACTCGTGTCCAGCAGTGTATGTAAAATCAATACGCGCAGGGGGCGGAACATCTGCCAGACAGAGTCAGGGAAAAAAGGAGATTAGTATCCATATTGTGTCATCGTGGAGGAGGGAACGGGGGAGCTAGGACGCGGAGAGGGCGGAACAGAACTACGCGGCGCAGGAGGAGGCGGCGGCGGAGGAGGAGCGCTGATGACACGGGGGACAAGGCTCGTCGCCACCGCCTTCCTCGCCGTCGCCGGCACTGTCGCCGTACTCGCAGTCGTCGTCGTCGCCGTCGCCGTCGTCGCCGCCGTCGTCGTTGTCGTCGTCGCCGTCGTCGTCGTCGTCGTCGCCTCCGCCGCCGCCGCCGCCGCCCCAGCGCTGCGCCCGCCCAG